GTCACTCTCGGGACATAGTCAGCATTAGCATAAGGTTTGGTACTGATGGACTTCCAACCTGAATCCCAGGATTAGTTTCTTAGTCCTTACTATTCATAAGGTTGATAAGTGAGTTGTAAACGCTATTTGTTCAAAAGAAACTAAGTTAATGCGTATTTTATGAAAATGGATGTATTTACTCTATCTAGTTCAAACGAAATCTACAGAAAAGCCTTATTACTATCGGGAATATTGGCAGATAGTTGGCCACATATGCGTACTAATTCATTTATATATATGCATGATAATCAGAAGCCTACGATGAACGTACGTAGAATTCTGAAATTTAGAATTTGGCAAGTTGACTTGGATATTCCTCTGCAAAGGATACCCGAGAGAAATGATGCAAAAAAATATATGGGCGCACTTTATCCGAAGTCCTCTGCTATTATAATTATCATAATTCTTAGTATTAGATCGTGGCAGAAAGTTGGCCAAGAGAGTGACTTCACTTGTTTCTTTGACGAATTTTATCTCGGTGCTATGAATGGCAACACTTATTGATGATGCCGACTAAGCTGCAGGCGAAACGTCTGTTAATGTACTAACTCCACAGTCATATGCTAAGAAGTATGATAACTTCTATAGCAGAGAACCTCGGAAAAGGCGGGTTTAACTAGCTACCCTTGCTAAAAACGACCAAGATGTGAAAACGAGATCAGGGCACTTCAGGTCAACAACTTAGTTCATTTACCTTTAGGAATGGACCTAGTTTTTCATTTGATAATTGAGTTATTTATAAATTAAGGCATACGTGCTCATTTATTGAAGGAGCATAATATAAATATAAATGAAGTTAGGCAAAGTCAATAACAAGAAAGAAGAGCCAAGCAGAAATCTCTTTAGACACTGATTTTCCGTCTTTATAACCTTACGATAATAAATAAAATGTTAAGATATGACCTTAATCAGAAATACCATGCCGTTTAAATTGACTAAGAATAGCTGAATATGAAAAATCCTTTAGATCGTTTTTACAGCTGATGATTGCGATAAAGAACCAAAAGTAAAAAAGTATATTAATTAAAAGTATTTTAAAATTTTTATGAATATTTTAAATAAATACTCATGTAAACATAACATATGCTAGATTTGAATTGCTGGAAGATGTGATTTCTGAATTTACATTGTCTAATATAAACTGATTTAAACGTAATTGCCATAATTAATATTATATGTAGAATATGTATGTAAGTACAATTACGTGTCTCGAAATAGTTCTATATTTAAAAAAATTATTAGTTTCAAATAAAATAATTCTCTATATATTACCTGAGGTTTTTATATTCCTGTCCCACTACCTATATTTATTGCAAATTAGCTGCATTAAATACCTAAAAATTTGACATGTAGAGAGGCAACTACTCTCGAGACAAAAATATATGAGCTAAATCTACTAATCTTCTTAGAAGTCGGCGCTGATAGAAATCAGAACCAATTAAGTTAGCAAGTCACTACTGCTTATAGTGGAAATTTAAAGTTAGTTATAACTTAGGGTGACAAATAAATATCTATCTAAAAATTTGATAGTATATTTTGTAAACGACTCATCGATATAAAAGAATAATTAAAATGGAATACGACTTTTTGTGGACCATTCTCAAGAGCTTTTCATGGTACTAGGACTAGCTAAACAGTTGCATATTCTTGGAGCTGAAACTATATGATTGGCAAAGCATTTGTGTACACGGTTGGTTGAATGGATCGGAATGAACAGATGAATAC